GCCCCTATCAAGTGGTTTGGTGGGGCTACCCTTATAGGTTTCCTTTATTAGATGAAGCCCCTACTTTTTTTGACACTTTGTCTTAGAAACATATGAGAATTTGATCATCCTTCCTTCGTACAAGTGGTATGGAAGTTCTAGTTTTGCTTATCTTTGGATTTTCCTTGCCCCTGGTTGATATTCCACACTTCCTTGACAATGGTTGCTGAATTACTATTGAATTATTCCTCTTTAAATTGCTTCACTAGAACATTGATATTCAAATTTGGAATCGCTCTCAACTTCCTAGTCCTTCATTCTCCTGCTCGGTTAGCTAAACTAATATGGGTTTTTCGTCTTTTTATTGCTCCTTCGGCTTGTCAATGTCATGGAGTCGGGTACCTAAGAGGCACGTGGATGCCCCACTTGGCTTATTTGAGAAGGAGCAGCAAGCGATCACCCTACTCCCTTATGGTAATCTTTTTCATCAAGAACTTCATGGTGGTCTTCAATGGTTAACAAATTTGCAAACATGTCGGGAGTTGTTGGAGAAGGCATGGACATCATTGGTTGCCCCTATTATACTCTCATCAAAAAATGAGGTGCCCCTATCAAGTGGTTTGGTGGAACTACCCTTATAGGTTTCCTTCATTAGATGAAGCCATCCTTATCGGTATGTTGGATGCAATCACCTCATTTATATTTTCATTGGTGGCTGAGAATGTTCTTATTGGTATGTTGAATGGGACAACCTCTATAATGTTTTCATCAGATGGGACGATCCATGTCAAACTGGTAGATGGGACTGCCCCTATTAGATTTTATTTGACAATATTTTCCTCTTGAATATGGGGTACCCTACGTAGTGGAGTCATGCCCCTGCCACTGTCTTCTTCTTAGGATTCTTCATATCATATAGGTGGATTGTCTACAAAGTCTAGTGAGAGTGGCCTAAGTGGTCCCTTTATAACTTCTAGGGGTTCGATTTCTTTTAACTCTCGCATAGGTGTTGAATCGTTAGGATTGATCAAACCTAGATCTTTCAGTTCTTCTATATTGACTCTTGGATTGACCTTAGAGGATGATCTGATTGACTCCTCTTAGTTGAACTCCTCATCCCAAATAGGTAGGTCTGCCAAGAAGTCGGGTGAAGGTGGTCATCTTAGGATTTCCAGAGGTTCAAGTTCTTCTATTCATTTAAAAAGGGATGGATTTTCTTTCGAGTATAGGTTAAAATATATTTTAACTTAATCCTCTAGGCTTGGCTCCTTTGTTTCTTAATGAATTGTTTTTTCGAGATTAAGGCATTCTCTATTAATGTGGTCCGAGGAATCCCTAAGCTTGGGATCTCGAGTGACCTAGGAATGGCGTGGATGTCTTGTGGGTTGCCCAACACACTTAATTGTATGGTTGGATTGATTAGGCCCTTTGCCGCTGTAGTGTCTTGCATCACTGGGATGTCTTGGATCTTCTACGGGCATATACCCTCAATTGGAATTGAGATTCTTTGTGAATCGCTTCAGTTTTCTAATTTTTCTCAAGTTTCAAAACCCTGGCTAAAGTAATTACCATCAACATGACTTTGAGAATCCCTAGCCATAGGATTTGAGTTATTTGCCGCTACCCCATTGTCTAGGACAGGGATAGCTTACTCTTCTTTCTTTTCATGGACTGCAAACCCTGGGATAAGGCAATCATTGACATTCTGTTTTTAAGATTCCTTAGCTATAGGGACTTCAATAAGTTTGTCATCTTGATTTTTATTTGTCAAATTTTTTGGTTGGCCTCTTTCCTTGTCCAAGGCCATATTGGATGATCTTCAGGCTTGGGCAGGGATCTTGGCTCGTTTGTCATCACTACATCTGTTTGCTCTTGACAGGGCAGGGATCCTGGCTCGTTTGTCTTCACTACATCTTTTTGCTCTTGACAGGGCATGATGGCATCATCTAGGTTTGAATTAAAAGAGATGTCCTCCTTCCCTTAAATAGAGGTAGGGATAGGTTTGTCCTTTTTCTAATTTCAGCCATAACAATTAAGATACCTTGTCAATGAAATCTTGGATGATGTGCCTAAGAACAAGGCACTACTCAGTGTCATGGGCATGGTTTTGATGTCATTCGTACCATTATAACTTATTTTCAATTTGAAAATGAGGAATCCAAGCAGGAGGCAATTCGAGAAGTTTGTTTTTTTTTTAGCAACAATTTAAATATTACTCATCAAATCCTTGAAATGAGTAAACTTTCGGGGTATAGTATCTTAAGTTTGATATGTATAAAAATGAGGCCCATCAGCATCCTTCTGCCTTTTCAAATATGATTCGGACTTGGGATGAGGTTGATTGGTTGTTAATTCATTGAATTCACCACTAATTGGAGTTTCATCTTAACTGAGCTCTTGTTCTGATGTGGTGCTATTTGTATCCCTAAACCGTTCTAAAGATGATTCCAACTTGGGATGGACTTCAAACTCTTTAATTATTATCTCATTGGAGTCACAGTCGGTAAAATATTCATTGTAATCAAGCTCTTTTCCAATCACTACTTCATCTGGCTCTTGTCCCAGTATGGTTTCATTAGGCTCTTGCTCAAGTACGGCTGATAATTGATCTTCAACCCTTTCATTTGCTCTCTTATAGCGCGACACCATTTCGAGCATTGAGTAAAAAGAGAAAGACCAAGTTCTTTTGCTGAAGTAAAGATTATACTCATGAGATGTATTTTCTATGGCTATATTGATTTAAGAGGCTTCAGAGAGTGTGCAATCAATAGCTTTCGATGCGACATCTCTAAATCTATGAACAAAGCATGTAAACGACTCGCCAAGTTCTTGTTGGGTGGCAACCAATTTACCGAGGGTCATTAGTCGTTGCTTGATCCCTTGATATTACTCGACAAGTCGTCAGAACAATTCATTGAGAGTTTGATCAGGGTACTTGGTTACGACCTCATGGAACCAAGTTAGAGGTTCATCTAAAAGGGCATACTGAAGCATCACCTTGAGTCAGCGAGCTCTATTTTCAAGAGATGAAACATGTAAAAGGTACACAGTGACATGATTTTCAAAGTCGTTGCAACTCCCTTTTTTTGTTTTCGGTGAGTCAGTGGGGAGAGGGCCCCTACATTTGGTAAAAAATGAACCTAGGATGTAGCCTTGTAATTCTTCAAGCATTAACTAATTAAGCCCGAGCTCTTTTCCTAAGTCGCAATTACTAATGGCAATATGAGGGTTGCGTTGCTTAAGTTGCATATCATAGTGTTGAGAGAATCACATGCCGTGTCGCTGACATTGCACTGTTGAGATGCAATTTTTAAGCATGCCACAATTGTGACTATGGGTATCCAATTAAATGATAAGGTGTAATTGATGCCATGTTATGTAACCTTTAACTAAATAAACAAGGGTGCGGTTTGTATAAAGTTGCAACGTTATTTTGTCGAAACAAAATTGGGATGTTGTACATTATCTATTTTACTTAGACAATGTAGATTTGGCGCATCTTTAAGACAATGTAAATACGTAGCACATCTTTTAAGATAATGTGCATCATTCAATAGTACATCTTTTAAGATAATGTGCATCATTCAAATAAAATGGACAGTACGTAGTAAGTTGTACAGGAAGTGTCCCTTTAAATTGCTTTGTTTTGTTTTTTGAATGGTAACTAAAGACAAGTAATGAAAGATGGTGATTTATAGCTACACTGGAAAGACTAGTAATGAAAGATGATGATTTATGGCCATATTGAAAGTACAACAGTGTAGCCAATCCCAAATAATTAAAAACAAACACATGCGATGATAAATGATATTTTGTTGTTTTTCGAATGGTAAGTTACGTTATTCTCATTGGCAGATTATCCATCGATCGATTGGAGTTCTCTCAAAATAACGACCGGTTGACGATGACATTAAATTACGAGGGTTAAAGATGTCCATTTCTCGTGTGCTTGTGATCACATGGGCTCTTATTTATACAAGTCGAGAAGAGTACAAGGAAATAAAGGTGAGGACGACAGTAAAACACACTTGACACTCTTAGGCCACGTCAACCCTCCTGTCCGGTATCATTTTTCTTCCTTTAATAGAAACACTAATAATTGGAGTACTTCGCCCCTCTCCTCCCATTTCTTTCCCCCTCGTTTTCTCTCTCTCACACTCATTTGAAGTATCTTGCACAATCACATCTCTCTCATAAACATATCAAGTTTACATAAGGTTGCAATTTTAAAATGTAGAATCACATATAAGGTTGCAATTTTAAAATGTAGAATCACATATGTACCTCAAAAATATATCGAAAAATATATCGAAAATATTGTTTTTAAGATGCGCCGATGCGCCTTAATTGGATTGCTTAAGGTTGCAACCTTGGATGGCTTAAGGTTGCAACCTTATAGAAACCGCACCCATTTGTAAGTATACTGCAAGAAAAACTCTTTAAAAGTGTATAGGATCTCTCTCATGACACATCTTATTTGAAGTATATTGCAAGAAAAACCCTTAAAAAGTCTATAGGCAAACAGTGTTTCCACACCACCACACAGTTTTGTCTTAAAAACAGCCGGATCTACAAGAGCTACCACATAGCTGTCTTAAAAACTGCTGGATCTACAGGAGTGGCAGTTACTAGTTTTTTTTTTTTATGTGCTGCCAGCCATTTCTGTTATGTACCACGAATCCGTAGCGGTATTTTAATCCACGCCATCCAAAAAAAATAGATGGCACAGAGCCTGTGGGCAAAAAATTTTGCCTGTAAGGGTTGAGTAGTCTTCAGTCGCAGTCTCTTAAATTTCAATAGGCCTACCGCATAGTCACATCTCTCTCTTAAATTTCAATAGAACTACCACATAAGCACACGTCTCATTTGAAGAATCTTGCACAATCACATCTCTCTCTCACGCACACGTCTCATTTGAATTATCTTGCACAATCACATCTCTCTCTGTGCACTGTTCAGAACCTGAGAGAGACATGCAAATATACCGACTCCACGAGATAAAACGATAAGAACAGAGAAAAAAACAAATGGAAGGATATCAATATATTGTTGTTGTCAAGACAAAACAGGACCGCCAAAAGACGATAAAAAACCAGAAAGGAAATCAAAAGTTATGCCCTGATCTATACATGTGAACCAAACAAAAAAAAAAAAAGAAATCTTCCTTCTGCCTGGTTGCCAGGAAGAGTCATGTACAGTTGCTCTCTATCAAATTCAATTGTGTTGTTAAAATAGATAGATAAATGCCTCTTCTGCCTCTATCATCTCTCATCATCAAACCAAAACCAGTTTTCTTCTTCCTTTGTTTATCAATAACTATGTTTCTCTGTCTTAATCAAACAAAAACTATTCTTCTTCTCCCCTTCTTTGCCAATAATCATCTCTCTCTTCTTCTTATCTGACCAAAACCCAATTTCCTTCATCTTCTTGCCTGCATCAATCTTTCTTTTCATCAGTAGAAAAAAAAACCAACCTTTTTCCTTTTTCATGTCTGAGATCTTGTTTCTCTCTCATCCAAATGTGGTCGGAGCCATGATAATGTGCTTAAGTGGCTGCGAGACATCAGTGACCCCTGCATGCCTCACAAACTCAGCAGGGCTGAGAAAGCTACCATGGCACACACACACAATGCTGATCTCTCCCTTTGTGTATCTATATAAGAAACCATTTATCGTTTTCCCATCAGGCCCATCACCAGTGGCAGAAACACATGGCATATGTGGCAAAGCCACCTTCTTCTCTTGTCCATTAATTCTCTCACATTGCTTGGTCTGAATGACTAAGCCCAAATTGGGTTCGGGTCTTGTCTTCAAGGTTCCCTGAGCTGAGCTGGAAATGGGTTCAATGGGTTTCGATTCAGGGATCTGGGGTTGAGTAATTGACCCCAAATCGGGTTCGGGTTTGAGGCTTTGAGCCTTTCCCGGGCTTGAGTGGGCTGAACTTTTGTCGGGGGCTTCCTCTGCTACTTTATGAGAAGAGGTGCTTGGCTCTGATATGGCTGATGGGTGAGATGACCCATTGGCTGGAATTTGGTTGGAAAGTGAACGAATGTTTGGACCTCTGTCAGAATGAGAATGGCTTGAATTGCTTCTCATATCACTGCTGCTCCCACCTGAAACAATAATGGACCGCACTGGTTAATAAAGATCATAAGAACTCCAAAGTTTTCAGTGAAAATTGCAAAGATCTCAAGTATTGAATGAGATACAGCTTGGGAAAACCGGACTAAAATTCAAGGATGGTGGGGGGATTTTCAGAGGATTACGATTTCTACTTCAGGATTAAGCAGATCGTCTTGATTTCTTTCAATGGTAATTGCTGTTTTGTGGTCTTTTGAAACCTTTTGTGAGCCATCTCTGCATGTCTCTTCCAATTTTCTTCTTGATTTGTTTTCAAGTTTTCCTATATAAGTGTTCAATTCAAATTGAATAAAATGAAGTACTAGATTAGGGATGGTGCACAGGCCATTTTATCATACCATTTTATCATAATTGAGTATCCAAATTCTTTACTTTCAGATCGTTAGCATCCAATTTCAATCAGATAAAAACTACTACAAGATTTATAAGGCAAAAGCACTATTAGGTTTATAATGGTATAAGATTTTGATGCATCAAGCTCTCCTATCAGTACCCAATATAAAGCAAAGGAAAATCAATATTAAATCGAGAATGGTTTCGTTCATCGATTGTATTAAATTGAGAATGGTTTCATTCATCAATTGTATCAAATTGGGGTGTATACTGATCCAAGTTTTGGCAGATGTTACATTTTTTTTTATCACTACCATTCCATAGTAAACAACACCACCACCACCAAATCTAACGTTATCAAGCATTCAGGATATAACAATATGCAAAAAAACATTAAACCCCAGGATACCAATACGCCCAGGAACCCAAACCAGACAGAAAGGGCAAGAACAAAGATAAAGAAGATCAACTTATCAGACGCGAAAAAAAACCACAACCCAATAATAAAACTAAAACAACACAGAGAGAGGAAAACAAGAGAGGGAACTCGACAAATAGTTACCTTGTGGAGATCCACTTTCATAGTCCGAGATTGCAGAGCCACTGCCTTGTGATGCAATAGAAGAGAGCTCTTGCTTTACCCCATCCTTTCCACTTTTCTTAGACTCCTCACTTGAAGAATTAGGGTTAGGGTGAGGGATACTCCGACAAGGAATGGGCTGAAAAACTGTACCAGAGCCATTGGAGCTACCGCCATCTTGAGAATTAGGGTTATGGTTAGGATTCCCAGAACCAGGAGCAACAGGGGTCCAACAAGGCATCACATAAGGGAAAGAGAACCCATTAGCAAAGGGCAAGTATTGAACATGGTGGTGATGGCTATTGGGGATAAACTGAAATGGGTAAACAGGGAAACCAGCAGGTGGGGCATATCCGCAAGGATTGTTTTCCTGTTGGTTTATGTTTAGGGTTAGGTTTTGCTTTTCCGAACCGCACTTCCTCTCTCTACCTTCTTCCTCTTCCTCCTTCTGTAAAACCGATTTTCTCTCAGATCGACCCAGCTCTCTCTCTCTAACCTGTCTATCCTTGACTCTGCAAGCGAGCTCTTGAGCTTCAAGGGTCGACCTATCCTCTAAAGAAACTCCATTACTGACCTTCGGAAACCCCTTTTTTTGTTGCTTCTCCTCCCTCTTCTTTCTCGCTTCCTGTCTTCTCAGAGCATGCATCTCTCTCTTCCTCTGTTGCTCCATCAACTCGCTCCCACCTTCTCTGTTCTCAAAGGCATTAAACACAGAGAACCCATTCGGAATAACACCAGTTTCTCTCTCCCCACCATGAACAACACTTTCTCTCTCTTTAGTCTCTGTAATCTTGAGATCCGAATTACATGCTCCATTAAACCCAACCTTCTCCTGCGATCTCCTGAAACTTCCCCCAATGGATAATCCCAGACTCAGCTCTACCCCATCTTCTCTTTCCATCTCCTCTGTTCCAAAATCCCTGGCCATCATCATTCCTCAACTCAAGAAACCACAAAAGAAACGAAACTTTCTCTCTCTAGATTTTGACCCTCAAATCACAAAACAATCCACCAAAGAAAAACCAGAAAACCAATCCGAAACCAGGTTTTAGAGAGAGAAAACAAATTAAAAAACCCAGCTCCCCTCTCTTCCGGCCATTATAGCAAACCAAAGATTGAGAGAGAGAGAGAGAGAAAGAGTGGTAAAAATAAAGGAGGTAAGACCAGAAATTTCCAATAAAATTTGGACTCAATTACCATTAGCGTAGCCCTGTCTCCGACACGTGGCAAGAAGGGATAGAGAGGTGGACGCTTGTCCTTGACACGTAGGCAGCCTGGCCAGATTTAGCGGGAACCGTTGATCGAAGTTATCCCGCATAACCACGCCCATAAATTTAGCGGTCCATGGAGAATAACTACAATAATAATAGCGAACAGATTTTCTACACCTGCTAGTGTATATTATTTTTCTACTCCCCCAGGCAAATTTTTATAAACCGACTATTTATATTTAGCACAAAAAAATCATAATTATTCTTTTCATCCTTTTTTTGAACAATATTGATCCTTTTTTTGAACAATATTGTGAACTTTTATTTATAGTTTGCTTAAAAAGTATGAATTACATAGTTGGGATCAAAGCATCAAAATAGATAATGAATGTAATATTTAGCAAGACAATCACTCAATCATTTGGCTTCACAAAAAATATGTGAGAAAGAAACTTTTTTGAAGTTGTTTTTTTCATTCAGATTTTAAATCAAGCGGTTGTTGTATGTATGCCATTGACGAGAAGTTAAAAAAAATTGAATTTTATAATACACCATGAGCCATCCAATGTGATATTTATTTAGTCGCTAGGAGTAATTGTGATTTCTTTTTAAAGAAGATAAATAACTTCATTGTATATAATATATTTATGAGTAATGATACTATGAAACCCTCTCACATTCATGTGAGTAGGACCTTAAAAGATGGTCATTAAATTTTGTGAAAAATCTCTAGAAAACCTATTCACTCATGTCTCACACCCATGTCATAATTTTTCTAAAGATCTATGTCAAAATTTAATGATCATCTTTTAGAGCTCTACTCCATGAATGTGAAAGAGCTTCACGTTGTCATTTCTCTATATTTATATATATCAAATTTTGGACAGGTATATAGAACTTAGCCACCAACTTGAAGAAAATATTTTTAATTCTCACTTTACGTGCCGAAAAAAAAAGGCATTCTAATGAGCGATCCAATTTGTTGAGAGAATGATTTAAGAGGTTTAAAAACTAAAAAATCCAGATTATATTTTTTAAAAATAATAATTTAGCTAATTTTACATAGATCTCCAAATTTAAAAAAAAAAAAAACCTCTTCCAATATTTTGCCGGATGGAGTACATGTATAACATACTCCCGAGGGAATATACCCGGATAATAAAAAAAACAAAGAGAGCGATCTCCCGCATGTCCCACTCTCGCCACGTGTCAATTTAGGCCTTGGGTACCCCCTGGCTTAACCACGTCGCGACACGCGTCCACCTAGCAACGTCCTGGCCGTACAGTTTAGACGACGTGTCCGCCTCTGACGGTTTCATCGCTATGGGAAGCTGGCCGCCACGTACTTGATTAGGACATCGACACGTGGCCATCGGCGCGCTTTGTCTGGGACCCGCATTTAGTATCTGGGAAATACGACACGTGTAAAGATCTGGTGAATCCGCGGTATCTGCATCGGCACGTGGTGCGCAGAGAGGGGCATGACAGCTAAGCGAGGCAAGGTGGTTTGACGACGTGGGCTTGGAATGCTTCCACGTGGTTATGTGGACTTCGAACACGTGTCGAATGGACATTGGTTGGACCGAGGTCGCGAGGTGATCTGTTTTCTTAGCTGTTTTTGGCTTCGGCTTTTTGGCGTGGAGCGCGTGGGCGCGGGCCGCGTCGACATGTGGCGCGTTGGAGATTGAGGATGAGGACGGGCGTCAGAGTGCCACGTAGTCTCCTACGCAGTTGATTCCGTCTGTTGGAAAAGTGAAAGCCCATCCTTTATAAAATTACCGAACTGCCCCTCTGTGGGGTCGCTTTCGCTTTTCTCCTCCTCTCGTTTTGGTTGTTTCTCGCACTCTTTCAAATCACAATTATTAATAAAAGTGAAGTGCGGAGCTCTAAACACTCAAATTTGGCCCTCCCTCAAAATTTTTTCTAGAAGATATTATTTTGATACTCAAATATTTTTAAATTCATCATCTCGACGTCAAGATACATGGACATGAAAAAAAAATAGATTTCAAGTTTTAAAAATTATGTATTTTGTAATGCATTTTTGGATTGTCAATTTTTAAGATTTTCAAATTTTCATAAATCTATTGATCTACACTATTTTTGAAGCTTTAAACTTTATAAATAAAGATGAAAATATATCTTAAGGCTACCACAAATATTTTCAGTATTGAAACTACATTCTTGTCACTATTTGAAAGTAAGCTATAATTTGATTGTTTAGAGCCTAAGCTCTATACAAACCACACCCTTAATAAAATCTCCATTCAACAAAAGTACTTTAAAATATTTTAAAATCTGTATTTTTTTTTTTTGGGTTCCAAAGACATTATACGGTTTAATGATATAAGAAGTGATTATTGCAATTCCAAAACTTAGCTATAACCTATTTTTAATCTTTGGATTTTAAGATTTCTTTAAAAAACAGTAGAATGCGACATGAATGATATTTGAAGGTATTAAATATTACAAATTGATAATATAAAAGATATTAAATACTGGAATCAATCCTATGGGGGTACATATATTGCAAGGAACTCGTAGAAGAAAACCAAATAAGAAGAATGAGAGTACAGAGCATAAGTATAAATTAATAAAATACAAGTAATATTAGGAAAAGTTTAGATAGAGACTAGTTACTCTCTTTTTTATGGGGTCAATCAGTGGGGCTTTTTTATGGGGGTAAATCAGTGGGGCGGAGCAGGCCTCCTACCCGATTTTCATTAATAGAATAAATAGAAGAGGTCATAGTTCAAGTCGTTTAAGTGTGTCATTAACTAGACTCAAAGTTAAAAAACTAAAAAAAAAAAACATCTCAAACTTTGTGACATACCCCGAGCCATATAATTTGACTTCTAATAATAGCAAGGAGTGATTGTGATATCCTAATAACAATAATAAATGATTTCATAACATGCGATCCTAAAAATGTTATCCAATAAAAATAAATGTTATAATTAATCGTGATCAAAATGGTGGGAAAGTTTATAAGAAAAAATCATGCTTCATGCCAAAAAGCAATTAGCTCAATAAAGCATACCTTCTAGGCCGGCTAGAAAAAAGGAAAAAATTTGTGCATTTATCTAATAAGCAAAAGACTCTTATACATTAAAGTTAGGAAGGGTAAAAAAATCTAAAATCGACAAAATTATATAGAATATTGTCCAAAAGAAAAAGAAAGAAGAAAAACATGGAACTAACATAAAACTTGCCTTTTAGGCTAGTAGAATAGAGATTTATGAAAGTATGAAATAAATAAACAAAACGGTTTTCACTTGCAACCATTTAAATACAACTCTTTTATTCGATAAATAAAAAACACATTATTTCATAGGAATGGTTTTTTACAACAAAAAAATAAGATAAAACAAGTAAAGTTGCCAGCGATTACCTCAACTAGGCTTAGTATACCCCACGTCGAGTATCGTCCTTCTAACGGTGCTCAAGGGCAATGATTGGTCTCTTGATTCTACTATGTATGGCAAAACCCTCTCAAAAGCATATGGATTTCGATTTGAGAACCAAATTGTTAAGTCATCAATGTCTTATTCTTCCTTAAGCCCATTGGCTTAACCTTAAAGAGAAGAAAGAGAAAAATATCTCATAGGGCGCGGCTTCCTTTCTATCTTTCTTATGAGAGAGAGAAAGAAAATAATTAAGAGAGAGTGAGAGAATTCCCTTTCAAGCTACCAAATAGAGAGAGAAAAAAAAGAAAACCCTTGCTTGGGGCATGGCTACCTAGAGAGAGAAGAGATGTAGAGAATTATGAGGGAGGAGAGCCTCTATTTATACATTTTCTATGTTTTAGGCTTTATCATTTTTAATGAGATCAATTGTAGACTATTAATTTAAGGAGACTTGTGGGGTAAGAGATGTGAGCGATCAATTCTTTAAATCCACTATCAAGATTCAAAAGAAAGTGTTAAAACACTATCCTCCATTTCCTAAATCTATTCCCATCAAATATTTAAATAAGAAAATATTACTTATACTTTCTCTTTTATGAATATTTATTCTTTATTCACATAATCTTTGATCAATTAAAAAATATTGGTTCACAAAACTTACTAAATTTCATTTTATTGATTCTTAATGCAAGTAGGCTTTATACAAAATTGAAAGTCAACTAGCATGGAGGCTTCTTAGAATTTTTAGTAAGTAAAGCCCCCATGGGTTGGGCAAGCCAACCTAGGAGGCCCCTTATGGGCCCCACACAATCTTCCATATGTTTTTAAATAGGCCCTTGTATCATATAAAGGGTCCCACATATTTTAAAAAATATTTATTTTGATTTTTAGATTTTTAAAATAGAAATTATTTCTATTAGATTATTTAAAACATTAGAAATTGATTTTCTCTTATTTTATAAATCCAAATGATGAAAAAAACCTATCAAGGTCACAAAAATTCAGGTAATCATTATAAAAATTATATAACATAAAAATAATTAAGACTAATTAATTTTGATGATAATCGAATCCGTATAGGTTTAAGAATTATCAATATACTGGTGCACTCCATCTTTAATTGTGGACCACGACCCACACTAGCCTTTTCAAACTGACGCAATGCTTCTCATGACCCACAGTCTACTCCAGGGGCTCATGATTAGGTCACAAAAGTTAGCTAATAGGTTAGGGGGCATAATTCCAATCTATGCATTTCAGGTTCTCCCTTAGAGATTAATCCATTGTCATCTAGATCATGATGCAACCATGACTCCATGGTGCATAGGAGTAATCTCGTGCACATGTAAACGTTTTACCTTTAATGATGGATTGCTATCTTGATACGACTATCTATGTATATGTCGTGTGATGGTACTATGATGAGGTTTTAACTTTGTCTCTAAAGGTCAAGCACCATACATAAGGGCCACACAGTTCCTCGGCTCACTCATCCGGGCATAACTACGACCTCATTGAGGACTTG